GGGACCGTCCACCGGCTAGATTAGCTGAGCCCCAGCTTCCCCTGAGAGTGAACGTGTCCCCGCTGCTGTACCTCCCACTTTTCATCTGGGTGAGAGGCTCTGAAAAAGTTCAGCGCTGTCCAGATGCCAAGGAGCCATATCCTTGCGGCCTAATCCGAGGCCTTGCCTCCCAGCCTCACTTTTTTCCTTCCTGTTCCTACCAGAATGTCTCATCCAAACCCGGGGCGCCCCCCCAGCCAGCGGTCTGCGCCAGAGGCGGTTTCCCTAAGGATGCTGGCGATGGAGCTGCGGAACCCTGACCGCTCCCGAGCCCGTGGCCCTGAGCTCTCTCCCTCCGGGGGGCTGGTGGCTGGACTCTGAACAACTGCCTTCAGTAAAGGACCAGTCTTCACTGGCAGCGGCTGGAACTTGGCCCTCAGCCTGGGGTGGCAGCTCTGCTAGCGGCGGGTTCACTCCTTCCTGGCTGATGCAGTGCTGAGCTTTGAAATGTAGCCGAACACCCAGCCCGATGACCGGAGTTGGGCAGGCCAGCAGTGCTCGCCAGAGTGGTCTGGCCTGCTTCCGGGGATCCAGGTGGTGTTACATGTCCATTTCATGCTTTGGGGGCTCCACATCCCACACAACACTTTTAGCAGAGCCTTGATTAAAAGGAAGCCTGCAGACTCTCCTGGTGCCTGGCCTTTCCTTTCTGTCCCATCTCTAAGACTCTGATGGCTGGGGAGGGAGGAAGTGGTGGAAAGCTGGCAGGGTTGGGAAGAAATACCACAGATAACTACCAGATTTAAATAAGCATTTAATTAGGATCTCATTAGTATTTAATATTGCTTTTTCAATTCCAAAAAGTTAAATTTTCACTTCTTAGCAGATATTTTAAAGTACAATATTAAGTTTATACAAAATGAGCAATTAAGCAAACACCATTATTTCACATTCTTCAAAAATACAAATTCATATTTACTCTTTTGGGTTTGGAGGTTTCTTCCTTTGGAAGTACTGAACCTGTAACGTTTTCATATCGCTCAGTGAAAGTCTGTTGTTCCCATGTTTCACACTTAAATGAATTTGATAGGCTTTACATAATCCAAATAAAACTACTGGGCTTTAGAGAACTGTCACGGAGACCTTCAGCCAATGACTAGTGCATGTCCAAAAGAAAAGGCTCTCCTGGGTCTTGCCTTTCCGGCCAGAAGATCTGAGCCAGAGATTCAGCAAAACCAAGTTTCCAGCCACCTCCCCCAAACTGGGACTGGGAGTTCACAGGGAAAGGAAACAACCACCTTGAACTCTGACCCCGCCCCCACATTCACCAAGAACAACAAAGGACTAGAGTCAAACATCACCCTAGGGGAGGCCTGAGGACACAGGGGAGAGGGCAAGAGAGGCCTCTGACTTGGCACCACTGTAAGGATAACAAGGATATTGCAAAAAACAACCCTGGGTTTTGGTGAAAAAAGGTTTTATGAAAAACTTTCCCATAAGAAAAAGAGTAGAAACTGCACTGAGCTGAGAAAGTGACACTACGTTATCACCAATTTTTGGCCCAGCAGGCACACCACCAAAAGGGCAGTGTGTGGTTTTAAACTTTGCATCCAGTAAAAAAGGCTGTACTATGTACACATTAACAAAGATCCAGTTTAATTTGCATTTTCAGTGCAGACTGAGAAGCCCTCTTGAACAGGCTTAACAGTGAAAAATGCCCAAACAGTGGTCATCAGCTTCCCCAAAGGGCATGAGAAGAAACACAGGACCCTTTCTCTCTTCCCCAAGTCTGTCCCAGAGGAAACAGCCTAACTGGTTACCAATCAGAAATATGCATAATTCCGTTTTCTTGCCTCCTCCCTCCCAGTATTAAGGAATGAACAATTCTGATCTATGTCACAGCGATATCATTTGCATATTGGATCTATGGAAATCTTTCTGCTTTGGCTGAAGTATTTTCAAACTTTTCCATTGTATAGTAGCCTGAGAATGAAGATAAAATGGGGTGGTAGGGGAAACGAGAGGAGTGAGGGGGAAAGGAAAAAGTTGATAAAGCAAATTATAACAGCTTTGTTTATTGGATTTATTGAAGGCTGGAGGCCTTTTTGCTTAAAGAGCCAATAGGGGTAGCATGGGAGCGGTAAGGAAATGGCTCATGTTGCCTCCCCACCTCTAACACCTCCCCAAACATATTTCTGATTGGTGATTAGGAAAACTGAAAAGTCTAGCAATACTGTTGCAAGCTCCACAAATCAATGGTTTCGGTGATTCTGGAGAAGTCTTTTAAGATTAAGGACAATGGACATGATTACAAATATAGAAGTCTAGAAGGTGCCAGGTTTCTACCTAGGAACATCCCGTTCCTTCCTTTCAGACATCACTTTGTAATGGTGAAGGGGGGAAAGATGGCAAGGGTGCAAGAAGTGATGCAAAAGGGCCTCAACGGTCAACAGAAAACAGGACCCGCAGCAGTTCTTTAGAGAGCCTGAGGGGGCGCCCTCAGGCACACAGGGAAGGCTTGCA